AGTGCCCAGAGAGGCGCCTTTAAATAAAATGTATTATTATTATTATTATTATTATTAAAGTATATCAGGACTATTATTTAGCTCATTTCTATTTTCTTTATTTCATTTTTTTATGTTTTGATGGCGGGGGAACCGGAGCACCCAAACAAACACAGCGAAAACATTTTTTTAAATGGGGAGCAGGGCCTGAGTCTGCCACGCCATCGGTTCATACCCCCAAAAACTAATCAGTATCCCGTCAGAAAGAGTCAGGAGGAAGTCCAGAATCCTCCTCTTCCTAAGGTCAGAGACGTCCACATCGCCCTCCTCATCCTCAGCGTCCTCACACCTGGCGGCGGTCTCGTCCTCGCTGTCCACAGGCGGACTGAAGTACACGTCCTCCCTGTTTGTTGCTTCCCTCCATTTGTTTCTGATCTTCTTCGGAAGCTTCTGGAAGAAATGGACAATGTTCTTCTTCTGTGGTGAGATGTCAGCGTTGTCCAGCTGGTCCAGAATCCTTTGCCCCTCCAGCTGCAGCCTGAAGGCGGCAGACAACCCACTGAGGCTGCTCATCACCTGCTCGCACATCACCTGAGCGTACAGGCTGATGATACCATTGTACAGCGAGGTCCACTCTGCAAACCTTTCCCATATGGCCTGACCCATCCCCCAGGAGGGAGGAGGGAGGAGGAGCGATGTGAGCAGATGTTTCACAACGGCTTCAGAGAACCAGAGAACCTGCTCAGAAGGACTGACAGGACCAGAGGATCTCATCAGGGAGAAGTTGGACAGTTTGCCCTCACTGATCAGATCCTCCAGTCTGATCTGAGTTGAGCTGTTGCAGACCTGGATCTGAGCCAGCAGAGTCTTGACAGTCCTGACTCTCTGGACCTCCTGGGCGTCCTCACACTCTACCGTCTTGTCTCTCAGGTTGGACAGAAGTACGGACACAGTCCTCTGGACCTTTTCCAGTTCCTGTTTCTTTGCCTCGTCTTTGTAGCCGCAGAGGAACTCCCGAAGTTTCTCCTGCAGGGTGACTTTCGTCTCTGCCGCCACCGCATCCACTCGCTCCTCGCTGACTTTGGTCTTTTTGTCGCCACAGTGGAAACTTTGATTTCTTGTTCAACACATTTCTTTCACGGCGTCGTCTACGATGTCCAACATGTCCGAGGTACATATAGATGGTTGCTGTGAACTCTGGGTAATTGTGACGACATGACAACTATTTTCAGAATATTAACAAAGAAATCAATCAATGGATTACTGGATCAATAATCAGCATAATTAAAATAATCATCAACATGAGCTCCAACCAACTCCAACAGTAAAATCCTGCTTTTACATGAATGAATGAGTCAGAATAATATCAGATATAATTCTACACTTTACTCATTATACTCGTACTTTTACTCATGTTCAATACTTGTTACAGAGTTTTTTTTTTTGGTATTTTTACTGCAGTAAAGAATCTGAGTAGAGCAGGTGTGTATAATGTGTCACAGCCAATCACAGGCCTGATCCCAGAGTCATGTGATGAGTGTGTCCTCTCACCTGCTGCCAGCTCTCTCGGGACCAGCTGAGACACCCCTGATGATCCTCCTGGACACCTGAGCCAGGTGAGTCTGAGACACCTGCAGGACGAGAGACACCAGAGAACCTTAAAGGAACAGTTCCACATTCAGTGATATCGGATCGATAATCGGTCTATCAGTGGAAATATAAAGAGTAATAAATAAAAGAACACGTCAATAAAATAAAGAAATAAAATAAATATACAGTGATTTTTATGCAAAAACGACACAAACGTATAAAATATAGGAATAAAAATACAGAATAAATAAGTGTTTTTAATTGTTCTCTTATATTTTGTTATAATAAGAACATTAATTATTCATTATTTTAATTATTTCTCTTCTTCTTTAAATTTGCACATTTATTTGATTTGATGGATTCTTTATGGCACTCTGACCAAAGCTAATGTTCATGTATCGAATATCTTATACAAATCTAAAAATGATAACAAATCAGTTCCACAAAGTTACCATTAATCCACAGCTGGAAAGTTACTAACTACTCGAGTACTTTGAGTATTTCTGCTGCTTTATATTAGTGTATAATGAAGTTATAAAATGTATTTTTACAGCAGCATTCACTCGGATCATAATATCAGATCGATGACTTCAGCTGCTTTATGCTGATATTGGGGGACTCACCGCTCCACCACCCGGTCCTGGACGCTCTGCCACCCCCCGTCCTCCAGGCTGCGGAGGAAGGAGGAGAGGACGGCGGAGCTCTGGTCCTCCACCTCCCGCCCACTCAGCACCTTCTCCTCCAGGAACCGCATCACTGCCGCCCGCTGCTGCCTGCGGGGGGAGCGGGTCGGCGGGTCGGGGGTCTGATCCGGGAGGTCGGTTCTCTTCTCACCGCAACCTTCCATCATTTCTCTCTACGGATGGTCTCACTGGTGGAACTGGTTTATATTTGTGTCCTCGCGCTCACTGTGAGTTCGCTCGCGCTTTGGTTCCAGTTCGATCGAACCGGAAGTCACTTTGATCGATAGAATCCCTCCGATATTGATTATATATATTACTATATATATACTGTATATTACTATACTTATATATATTATATATATATTCTATACTTTATACATATAGTATAAATACATTATATAT